GGGGAATTCGTTCTTTTTTTACTTTGTTACCGTTTTTATGGTTTTGTTTTTTTTACCTTTTTACTGTCTTATCTCTTTGAAAATATGGAAGTAGAGGAAGAGAGAACTTTCAGTTTCTGTGTTTTACTGTTTATTTTTCGTTTTTAAGGGTGGTTTTTAACTTGGTTTCTACCTTTTTGTGGAATATATATATGTATGTATTTATTTTTATATATATATTTTTTACGTCCCTTGTTCAAACACTGCCTAAATTTACCATTTCCCAACTCTGTTAAAATAATAATAATAACGAGAAGAAGAAAAAATGTTTTTCTTTGTTGTTTGGGTTCACACTTTTTTTTAATAGCTGTAAAAAATGGTAGTAATTGATAATCAAATCGGTATACATGTTTGTTATTGGAATTTGGAGCACTAAGATTACGTTTGCACATGATTAGAAATAAAACCGAGGCACCAACCTGAAGTCAGTTGAAGTATTATTAACCGTCGTTAAAAGTTAGAGGTTCGAATTTTATTTTGTTTGATCGGATCCGCGAAGGTCATATATAAAGTATCAAAGTCAAGGTCGAGTATAAGGTATCAAAGTCTGAACTACCTACAAAACATGGTTGGGAGTTAGATGCTTTAGTCCGTACACAATCCAATCTAATCCACTAGAGAGAAATAGAGAAATAGTTTTGCATAGCTTGTGTGTGTTGGGAAATTAAGCACTCCTGACAATTTCTGTTTCCACAATAATATCCAAATGTTCAGTTATCTAAGCCAATCACACAATATAAAGAGGAATATAGGGAAAACAATAAACGATATAAAAATTTATACTAGTTTATCCCAACAGCTTATGAGCTACGTCCAATCTTCCACTCCGATGCATATTCCATTATAATAAAAATTGGATACTAGCACCCTCAATTTCTACTCAAATGTACACTCTCTAGAGGTCCCAACAAAGGCCCCCTTAGTTTCTAAGTATTTAACACAATGTATTTAGGTATAAGAATGAAAGAACTCACAACAATCAAGATCAATTACTTCGAATACGCGTTGACTTTGATCTTCTCCAACTCTGCTGCCAATACCTTGAACCGCTGCCTTGAAACTGCCACAATATTCCTTTGAAAATTAGTTGGAAGAATTAATCCCATGGCTAAAGAACCCTAAACAAAACGGTCTATATTTAAAGATCACCGTCACAATGTTGAGATGTTGTCCATAGCGTCTCAATGCTAGGGACACAAACCTCAATGCGCGCACCTCCCTCGCGGCAGCATTGAGACGCCACCCTTTTGCTTCAAGCCCAACAATGTGAATCTCCCGCTTTTGCAACGTTTAGACACTCTGATGTAGCACCTCAACGTTGTCCCCTAAGCCAACGTGCCCATGCATTTTTTCATTCATTCTTCATCCAATTCTTCATTCCTTCGATTGTGGTTTGGCTCCGCCAACCCCAATAGCATGGGAGGCAGGGATCTCTATTTATAGAGATGAGCCACCGATAGGGCTTCCGATAATGTTCCAACAACTCTCCGACATGTAGGAAAATGCAGCATGTTATCGGAGAACATCCTTGTTGCCTTCGCGCTTGCATGGACTCTTCAAGGTTGGCTCGTACTTGATGAGCGTCAGTCGAAATGTAATATGTAGCTCAACTCGGCTTCCGCTTGTCGAATCGCCAAGAATTGAATTAATCCGAAAGATGCGGTTGAGTCTTCCTATTGTTCTACAAAAACTTGAATGTGATATTAACACGTAGTGGGTGATAAATGACCTCCAACACACTTCATCACTCGTTAGAATTAAAATTACAATAGGAGAGATTTCAATGTAACTAATCTTGTACTAAGATGGCAAAGCTATCACACCGCCCACGTCAAGGAAGCCAACGCCATACCAATACGATCATATTGTAAATATTGGGAGCTAGAATGCAAAAAATTATAAGCAATAGATTATTTAGAAGATTAAGTTGTTTTGTCATTTATTTATTTCTGCTCGATGCAAAAGCTTTTGGTCATTACAAAAACATAATAAAGGTAACCAAACCGAGTATAGCTCAAATGGTTAAGACACCTATCTAACAAGAGGTTATGAGTTCGAACCCCCAACCCCACGACGTTGTATAAAAAATATATATATATAATAAAGGTAGCAACTCTCATGAGCTTTTAGAGAGATTTAAATGAAAAGGGCAATCCAATAAAACCAAAATAAAAAATAAATAAATAGAAAACCACATTTACGATAAAACAAGTGAAAAGCAATCACCATATGCACTTGGCTAAAAAAGAGTTTTCCTCTCTTAACACTCAAACTTTTGATGTGGATTCTATATGTAATGTGTCTATTTCCCACTCACTCTTTGCAATATATATGCATCCATTTGAAAATGTTTTTCTACTTCTTTTCATTTTTTTTCCTTTTATTATTTCTTCCCACTAGAAAGAGCAACACCCAATAATTTGATGCACCCTTGATCTTTTTGGTTAGATATCACTTGACAATGATTTTGTTTTTAATTTATTATATTTTGAAATAACATTGGTTTATATACAAGTTTTATAATTCGTTCACTTTTAAAACTTAGATTATGCTTGCAATTTATATGTGCGTTGAATATAAAAGGAACAAAAGTCTAAAGTTGTTCGATAGATATAACTATCATGAGTTGGCTTATTTGTCTAAAGAGACCTAGATAAATCAAAAATATAAATTAATTTCATATGAGTTTCGTTGGCAACTAAAGTGAGTCTGACTCTACTATGGTTGGAAATTAACTTGCAATATTTAATAATATGGGTTTCTTTTTGGAAGTAGTTATCAAGAAAAGTTGACGATCTTTGTCAGCAGACACTAATAATACTAATAATAATAATAATGTGTCTTTATCAATATTCATATATTTGAATATATTATTCTATTTAATAATATTTTATAAAGTTTGGAGATTAATGGTACTTCATTTTTATCTTAATCATTGTTTTGGTTAATTAATAGTTAATTAATGTAATGGTCAAATGTCCCACACTAGTGATAAGGATTAATTAAATTATACATTGAAAAGAAAAGAAAAATGGTAAAAAAACTCTACTAAAATTTTTTGGTGAGTTGAATTGCACCTTCAAATTCTCGACTACTGGTAGCTAGAGTCCACAAATAACTTCTAAAATATAAAAGCTAACATGAGCATAATTTAACGAGTCCCAGATATTATTAACCTCTCTTATGGATCACAAGTTTAAATCACAACCTCTTGTTCGGATTATAAATACTCTAAAAATAACTTCTCAGATATAAGAAGAATGGTTACGGTTAAACATCAAACTTCTCATTCTAATAAATAAATTTCTAATTTAAATTTAAGAAAATTTGGAGTGTCTGACAACAAAAAAGATTGTTTTTAATTTAATGACTAAAATATTCACTATGAAGGGATTATTTCAAATTCAATAAATTAAAATCATTAATATGTTATTTAATTAATTAAGATTTCACTCGATGCCTTTTTCTATGGTTGGTTATGCTAGTAACAACAATTGGTCATGATAAGATTCATCAATCAATTATAGTTAAACTGATGATGTTGAATGTTCTTGAGTAATTTGAAGCATTAATTTTTCTTTTATCAGTTTTCAACAAATTAAATGAATTTGTTTATAATGATAATTAGCAATGGATTTGTAGTGGATTATTTTGTACTTGTTTTGAGAAGTTAGATGACAAGTATTTGTGATCAATTTAATATAATTGAGAATTTCTATTTACTATTTTATTGGATTTATATAAATTGTAATTTTTTTTAAAATAGACGATAAATTAAATGAGATGATAAATTATATTTATTTCTCCTGCTTTAATTTCTTTTAATGATGAAATAGGAACATTTTTTTGGAAATACTGAATTATTTAATTATAAGTTGTGCCAATTTAACGGAATAGGTAAATTTGGGCCCAAGTTCTTGAAAACTGAAAATTGTACCTAATGGACAGCCCAAACAAATGGCCCATAAAGGCCCAAATAACTAAACTGAACCGATAAAACAGAATCATTTGGTTCAATTCTAAATAACTAAACAAACGGCCCATAAAGGCCCAAATACCTTCTAGCATTCTTAAATTCATAGAACGTATTTCGAATTTGCATCGATATTTTATGAAGGGATACATAGGTTTCGAACTGTATTTAATAGTTATTAGGGACAAATACATTGTGGCGGTCATATTCAATAATATTTTAAGAGATGCGATACTAATGGAATTGATGATTCATACTGATCACGACTAAATCAAACAATTGTAGTCTCTACTAAAACGTTTGTTGATCATAGAGATAAGTTATGATAGTACCTTGACCATTTGGTTATGTGATGTATTTCGTCATAGTTAAATATATTGACCGTGTTTAAGAAATTCATTTGCAAGGATTTGACACTACGAAGCATGGCTCTTGAATGAAGTATCTCCGATTCAGTCATATGAATACCCGGACATGTGACCTTGACTTGCTTGACCGTCTAGATTGTGATGTATTATCTCAATTGCCACATATTGTACGAAGAATGAATGGATCTCATGAAGTAGGTGTGCATTGCTATGTTCGAGTTCCTCCTATTTTTTCCGATCCAATATTTGTTCTCGAACGTCTTCGTTTCCATGTCGAAGCAAACTCTCCAAATTTATGACCAACCCTACCTTCAGTGATCTTACAACGAACAAAAGTTTTTCTATTGTAAATTCGTATAGCTATTTCTTTAAAAACAAGTTATTTCTTTAAAAAGAGGAGCAAGCAAGATCAGGCTGAAACATCCGACATATTTCATGTTAGATATTAATTAAGAAGAGGGGTTAACAATCTTGGAATGTTAACAATAAAAAACCCAGCTAAAATCGTGCAATTTTTTTATTATTAATATATCACCTAAAATCAAACGTGTATCATTTAAATATCGCAAGCAATTCAAATATTTAGCCTCCACCCCAGATTAGGTGAAGACTTGTTCTTATTCCCAACATAATAACCTTCTCCTCAATTATGAACAAAATAAAAGAATTTCAAGAAGGGAATTGATTTCTTAAAACTAATTAATAATCATTATTGAAAGCATCTAATTCTCTGGAGGTACAAATATTTTCACCAAACAATGAGAATAGAATTCAATTTTGCCTATCATATGCTCTATAATTTTAAAGCATCTCCACCACATAATTACCATGGGCAACAAGGCTTGCCATTTGTTGGAGAATAAAATTTTGTTTAAAAATAATAATTTTTTCTATTTCTTTTTAAGCAACACTTAGTAAAATCATGTTTTATAAATAATTCTTCGRTCACCTATTGGTTCAAAAGGATTAGGATTAATTAAGAGGGAATGAGATCAAACATGATAGCCACCTACCTTTTTAACGTGTTTTAGTTGATGGCTTATTTATTATTTTTTTTTAGAATAAAAGAATTCATATTTTCCTTTCAAAATTACAAATTTACAAATAATAATTTAAATGCTCATAGAACAACTATTTCTTACCATATCGATCATTTGATCATAATTTAGAAGTACAAGGTTAAAAACTATTTTTCAGTATATTATATATTACAAACGTTGGAATGGAGATTCAAACCTACGACTTGGAGAGAGAGAGGATGACAGATGCTTAATTAACTTGACCTATACTCAAGTCATTATTTACGTGTTCTAAGTTGTTGTGAAATTTTATTCGATATATATGTGTCTTCACTTGCTACATATATACGAGAACGACAAGAAGTCTCAACTTTCTATCATTCACGAATATCTTGATTGAGGGCGTAATTATAACATGCAATAAAATTGTATGGTGTAACTCATGAGGGACTTGTTGAGCCATGTCTTACAATGACTGTTTCTCCTCTTTTCTTCTTCCATTTGATTTGACAATGTTTTCTGATCATTAGGAAATGCATGTGAAGTCCCTTGCTTTTTGCATAGCAGAAAGTGCCTTACTTGCTTTGATCTTCCTATAGTTTCCCTTGGACTTAGAGCTGTAGTAAGTTAAAATAAACATTCAAACCTCGCTACAAAAGATGGAAAATTAAAGACTTCTTTGGTAACGTTTTTGTTTCTTTAATTTTAATAAATAGAAATGAATTGCACGCATGACCCCAATATCTGTGAATTCAATTGTTTTATTTATGTTTTGGAATAAATTAGAAATGAGAACAAGAAAGAAAAATCTTGTTTTTGGTTGTTTCTAAGATCTCTATACAATTTTGAAAATGTTCCCAGAAAAGAAGAGATAATAAATATAGGGTCAGTTTGGTAACGTTCCCGTTTCCAATTCTGTTAAGAAATCTAAGTATTTTAGAACCAACTTTGTTTCTTGTTCTTCCTTTTTTTGGAACATTCTCACAATATAGAAATTTTGGGAACAATCAAAACAAGTTTATCTTTTCTTGTTCCCATTTCTAATTTGTTCCAAAATAAAAATAAAAATATTCTTTTATCATACTTGAATTCTTGGAGATTGAAATCATGCAACACATTTTTCTTCATTAAAAATAAAGAAACACAAACAAGAAACAGGAACGGGCTCGTTTGGTAACATTTCCATTTCTGATCCCATTTATGTTTCCTAATTTTTAATATAGAAAAATAGAATTGAATGACCCTAACACCCATAAATTCAAGGATGATCCAATAATTTTATATTTATGTTTTGTAATCAATTGAAAACGAAAATAAGAAACGAGAAACCTGTTTTGATTGTTTCCGAAATTTTTATACAATTTTGAGAATGTTTCCAAAAAAAATGAGAAACAAGAAACATAATTAGTTGCAAAATCTTAGGCGTTTCTTAGTAAAATTGGAAACAAGAAACAAGGAACTAGAACATTACCAAATAGGGTCATAGTTAGTGACAAAATGCATAGATTTCTTGACAAAATTGGAAATGAGAAACAAGAAATGAGAATGTTACCGAACAAACCCTAACAATATAATTTAACTTAAAAGGAAAGGATTGCATGAGAATCTACCTTCAACTCCATCGTTGACGCAGTAGAGAATAAAATTATCGACATTAGTTCCGAGAGCGGGAAGACGAGCTTGGCGAGCATATGCTACAAGAGTGGTCTTCATCACCTCGCAAACCAAATCATCTTCATTTACTACAAATCTAATTGGCCCTGTGCTTCCAAGGACGTTGATGGAGATCAAAAATCTACTACACTTCCCACTTGTAATCGTCTTTTTAGACTTATTTGATGTGTTTCTCTTCAAGTTCAACATACTAGTTTTCAAATCGAGACGAGACAAATAAGGGTCAAGGTCGATATGACTCGACTGAGCAGCTAACTTAAGGAAAGGACGAGGACGAAAATGAGGAGGGAGGCTAGTGTCGAGAAACCAAGACAAATGAAAGGAAGAAAAATGCATTCAAAAGATATATATATATATATATATATATATATATATATATTCTTTGGTGATCTAAAACGCCAATGTGAATCAAAGCATCTATAGACTTTGAGTTTGTGTGATATTAGTTAAAGAAAGTAGGATAGGTTGGACAAATAGAATATGCTTGGAGAAAGGTGGTAAATAATGAGTAAATTTATGCCATCAAAATCTAAAAGTTTTCGTTTACGTAAATATGTATTTTTAAATATAGAAAAATTGAAATTTTACAGAAACAAAAAGAAAAAAAAAGGCATAATTCAAATCAAACTGGTAGGTAGGGATTTTTAATAAGGAGTATATGTCTTAAAAAGAAAGTTTTTTTTGTTCTTTTTTGTTTTTGAAATTTTGAAATTTTACAAAACTCGTATAATCTAAATTAAAAAAATTCAAAGATAAATAGAGAAATGTGGTAAATAATAAGTAAATTTAGCTATCAAAATCTAAAAGTTTTCATTTACATAAATATAGCAAAAATTTGAAATTTAACAAAAAAAAAAAAATCCAAATCAAATTTTTTTAGTTCAACACCATGATAGTAGGTAGGAATTCTAACCTCTAGTTTTTTTTAATAAGGAGTATATGCCTTAAAAAGACTGTTCTTTGTCTTTTGTTTTTGAAATTTTGAAATTTTACAAAAATCATATAATTTAAATTAAAAAAATTAAAAGATAACATAAAATACATTTTCAAAAAATAACACGCTATATTTGAAGAGAGAAAAAAAGTAGTAATAATTTTAACACTACATATTAAATTTACTGTCATATAATTAAAATTTTCTAGTCTTTTGTGGAGGTTGTATTTGTCAGGCGATTGTTTAATTCGTGACCCATATATTGTATGGTCAAAGAAGTTATTATAGGGGGCCCAATTAGTATATGGTTCCCTCATAGCCCTTCCACACTAAATAGGGTAAATAGTTTGAATCTTTTTTTTTTTCTCATTTTAATTTAGTTCTTGTTATTTTAAAAGTTTCAATTTAGCCTTTCAGTTTTAAGATTTCTTAATTATATATGTTGTTTACTGAATGGTAAAATTGGTTAATGATAAGGTTACATGATATGATATTTAGTGATTCGTAAAATTTTAGAAGATAAATTATGCCATATAAGAGAGGAAAGTTTTCAATTTCTCATCCAAATTAATCTCTAAGAAGTTGGCATTAAATTTTATTTATTTTATTTTAGGTGACTTAATATTACTCATCTAAACTTGTCTGGGACTCATTAATGTTATGTCAGGTAAGTTTATAATCAACCAACTTAATATTAACTGATGGAAAGTTCCTAATTAAAATTGTCAACATATAATGGACCAAATTTGAAAATTTTTAATTAATATAGGCTCAAATTGAAAGTTTACAGCAAAAATTGATACAAAAGTGTTTTACTCCTAGATGTCCAGTCGAGTACTACTGCATCTCAACGCATTTCGGTACGAAAACAAATAAGTAACGCTATCAAATACTTATATTTGTTATAAAATAAACAAAAGATAAAGACACACTAACATTGATTTTCAAGCAAGAACATAAAAGTACAATATTATACTTAATTAACCATAGAAAGAGATTACATTTGTTAGGGGGGGAGTGGTTGATAGAACCTCAGAATTTTAGGGAGATTTTGGCATGTCTTTCCTCTCGACGAGGACCCTTATACCCTGAATGTTCAATAAAAATGTTGAAGATAGGTTCCGGTCACTCTTGTCATGCTGTTGTTCTTAAGAGAACCTCCTCCTGCCAATATAAACATGATCGAGCCGACATTTTCAAGTTGAGAAGTTGAGTCTTATAAAAGACGCCACTTCACGAGAAAAGTTCTCGATGTGAAATCTGAACATAGCTCAACTAGTAAGTATTACAATCTCGAATATAATATTGAAATCGTGATAGAACTCAAAAGAATCAAAGACAAAAAGAACAAAAAACAAAAAACCATTAATTAGCGTCCCGTAACAATCCACTAAAGCATAACCCAGATGTTTTAATTACAAGGATTGGCGCGATTGTAGACGCCGCATTTTCCCTGCGGCGGCGTTTGGCGCTTCTTGTTGAGGCAGCTGTCGTAACGCGACGGCCGTTGACATACCGGCCGGTTGCCTCTGTTCGTATTGAGCGTTTGGAAATCCTTACCATAATTCAGCAGCATCCGCCCGATCTCCGATTCCATCAAGAACTCGGAATCGGCGATCTCATCTCCGACGAGGAATCTCGACGCGGCGGAGTCGTTAACGGCGTTGCTACTGCAACTGGAAGGGGCCGAAGTGAGGAGGAGAAGAAGAAGAATTGTGATCGCCATTGATGGTGCGCCCATGGTGTTTGAAGAAAGTCCCATGTGGAGGATTTTGGGAGATATGAAGAAATGGTGGAGACGAGAGAAGGAAGATGAAATTTATGGGGAACATGATTGAATTTGGCTGGGGGTCTTGTTTGGTAGGTGGGGAATTTTGATATTTGGATTCAATTTCATTTATTGTTAGATTGAAATTGAATGTGTGTGGTGTGTTTTTTTACTTTTCAAATTTCCAATATATTTTTTTAGCACGTGAAGTGGCAGATCGAACTCACAATTTCTTAGTTATTTGAAGATAGATGTCAAACAGAACTACTTCGCTAACTATGTTTAGATCAACAACTAAAATCATAACTTTAGTTTTATATTCTTTACTCAACTGATCTAGGATTTGTCTTTTCTAATTGAACTACACTCAAGTTGATAAATTTATAAGATATATGTAAATTATGCTAGATTTGCACTTCTCCAAAAAAAATTAGTCCATGAAAAAAAAGTTATAGTAATTTTAATAATTATCTATCATTAACATAATTACTTAAATTTTAACATGAATTATCATATAATAGTTTTAAAAGATTTGATACAAAACAGGGTCAATTAAATAAAATAAGGGTAGGTTTTTCCTAAAATAAGGGTAGATTTGTTGTACTCAAAAAAAAAAATAGATTTGCTAAAAACTTTAATGCACGACTTCGCTATAATATATCATACACCAATTTTTTTTTCATGCTATATTAAATCATCTATTAATTCAATTAACGTGTCACATCAATATTTAAGCAAAAAGTTTTACAACAATTACTTATTATTTAAAATTCAACGAAATGCAATTGAATTTTTTTAAAAAAATTTAAGAATTAAATAATCATGTAAAGAAATTAAATTAGCAAGAGAGAAATTACAGAAAAGATTTTTTTTTAGATGCACCACTACCCTTAAAAACGATCTCTTTAATAATAACGACCACTACCTAAAAGAAATATCCCACTTACCCACTTACCCACTCAGCCAAGTAACCCTACTAAAGCTAACTACAAGCACCATATAACATAAATCAGAATATTTGGACTAATTTTTAACATCAAAATGTAAGGACCAAATTTCAAATTGAATGAGTGGCCGTGAGTTGTGTTGAGTCACCAACAGAAGGGTCGCATCAGTGTTTCGGTAGAAGAAGGAGGTCGAGATCTCGAGGTTCTAGAGCGACATTGACAACCAGCTGTTGCGACTATTTGTGAAGTTTTTCACTCTTGTATTCCTAGGATTCTATTGTTGTAGTTCCTATAAGCTAGATGACTTTTGTCGAAACCTCTAGATTTGAGAGATTTGTATTACTCATTATTTATTCCAAAATTATAGTAGAACCTGTTGTTGCGGAGGATTGAACGTGGTTGGGCAAACCAATATAAATTTGTTTGTGTACTTTATTTTTTTAATTATTGTGGTTGACTTATTTTTCATTGACAAACCGTGGAAGGGAAAAATATTATTGATAAGTAATTTTCCTAACATAATAATAATAAAAGGTTAAACATGGATGTTTGGAGGCATATGAAAACGTTTTCTTCTCCTGATATTGTCACAAGTATTTGATAATTGGGTCATTCATAACATTACTATACCTTCTTTATTCATTGCGGCTCGGCTTGGTTACTCATTTGGCACATGTTTTGCTTATCGTGATATTGAAAGTCCTGGTCAGATGCTGGAAAATAGTAAAAACCACCCAAATCGTGAATAAATCTACAAAAAAAAAAATCACATATAAATATAAATCAATTAACTTAAGGTTTCAAATCAAATAAATTTACCTTGGATTTAAACTTGACCCACACTCAAAAGAACGACAGTAACTTTCAGTTAGAGGGACAGCGGCGAAGAAAAACGAAAAATACCAAAAAAAAAAAGCATATAAGCATAAATCAAGTAAAATAACTTTTAAAAATGAAATAAACTTACATGAGACTCGAACAGAACCAACTCTAGGCGAAATGACAAAGGAAATGGCGGCTACGAAGGAGAACTGAAAGACGAGTAGAGACCTAAGAGGGGAGAAGGAAGGAAATGAGGGAGAAAGAAATGGGGTGGGGTTTTAAACAGAGCCGTTTTGGAGTTGGGCCACGAAAATATATTTCGTCGCCGAGTGCCAAAACGACGCCGTTTCTTATGAAAAAAATGGCGTACACACCCTTCTTTTTGTTGGACGCTCAAATGGGGTGACGAAACAAAATTTGAGCGACGAACCATTTTCGAGGAATTTCGTTTTCGTCGCTTCCGTAGTGACGAAAAAATACTTTCGTCGCTATGGAAGCGACAAAATGTAATTTTCATCGCTTTTTATGCGACAAAAATAGTTATAGTCGTTCAACAAGAGAGCAGCATAATCATTGCTCCGCTATATTTGTAGGCTGGCTTATCACTGCACTATGACCTAAGCTTAGGGGTGTACACGAGTAAGGGATCTTTTGGGTATGATTAGGGTGATCGGAAAAAATCCCAAACCACGGCCCACAAGGGAAAATCCTATGTGAAAAATTATTACAATCACATAGATTTCTCTCCCCGACCCCAATTACACAAAACACTCTTTCAAAGCAAATACTTCAGTTAACTAGGGCTAGTATATCCCCTTTTGTACTTTTCCGATGTGGGACAACTTCTAGTACATGGAGACCATCCTTGTATTCTTCCGTTGTGGGACAACTTCAATTCCAATATTTTGCCAAAATCCAACGTAGGGTATACACGATAGATCCGAAGGAAGTGTGCAACCAATCCCAACCCAACCCCAACCGCATATGTTTTCAGGTCGGGTAATCTAGTTGCCTAAGTATGAATTTTCTTGAATATTTATAAACAAAATCTACCAACTTGATACGACAAAGATATTGACAACTGCGGCCGAGATGAGCAGCTGCTGCGGCAGAGACAAGCGATGTGGGTGAAGACGCTGCGAAGACAACACGGGAACGAGAGAAATTGAGAGAGATGATGGAGTGGTTGATTCTTCATTATTGCTTATATCTACTGCAGCGAAGATGATTCACTAGCTATGGAGAGAGGGGACGAGCAACTACTTTATCATGGTGAAGACGACTTGCAAGTTGCCAGGGAGGGAGAGTGAGGGGAGGGACTTGGCTGAGGAGATAAAATTAGAACATAGGTTTTGTTTGATTGGGTTGAACCGATACAAAATCTCCTCAACTCACAAACGGAATCGGCTTTTCGATTCTACAAATAACCAACCCAAATCAAACCAAACCAAATCTTACGAAATTGGTTGGGTTTTTCAAGTTATCGAATTATTTGAATACTCCTACATAATTTGTTAGTCGACGCTAATCTACCCTAAGATGTGTGCTTTTTATTTGTAGACTAAAACATGTTTCAAGATAGATCTTCCAAGTTGCATCACCCTAAGACAGTTTCCTCTATCTTCATTATGTGTGCTCATTTGAATAATGACTTTTTTGTAAAATGGACTTTCTTCTCTTTCCCCTCTCAATAGACAAAGCAAGACTAGGTATGATCAAGTTAGCATACATATTATTAAATATTATATTAAAGAAAAAGAGAAAATCAAAGAAAAGGAGAAAATTGAGTAAAATAAGTAAGGGTAGAAATTCGATCTGACGATCTACTGATTGAAAATAGGTACTAATTATAGTGAGTGAGTTAAGTTCATGTTGGCGACCCGTAATAACACATTAATATATTATCTTTTAAAAATTTTATTTTTTGATATTGCGTGTATTCTTTTTCCATGTTCGGTGATGATATTTTGATATTCATATAGTTGTATTTTTTTAATTCACTTTATGTATGGTAATTTGTCCATAATTTTAATTTATAATTAATGGTGTTTTCAACGCTCATTATTAAATTTAAAATTTACTTTTCTAATTCTTTTATTTATAGAAAGAAAAGTTCAAACCTTGCAAATGGGTACCTTGATATTACTGCAAATGAAATTATTTTATTTTGCTAGAACTCCCAATGTTTAGTTTTTTCTTTTCTCGTTAATCTTCTTTATTGAAAATATTTATTAATTTATAAAATAAATTTACATAATTTAATTGGTTAAAGTTTTATTTATCTTTATATTCTACCAGTCTCACATGTCACTAGTTCAACTATTTGAAAAAAAAAAAAAGTTAACGTATCATTCTTAGAAATAAAATTCCAGTAATAATATAATCTATCTTATAGAAATAATAATAATAATGCAATCCATTATTTTGTGCAAAAGATTTATGAATTTCTTCCAAAAAAAAAATTCTATAGAATATATTTCTGAGTGAGGTTTAGTTTCCTCGATAATTTTATCTCCATAGTAAATTCTAATCTCCTCTCCCATATTTTTTATATGACATTTCAGAAAAAGACTTTAAAAAAATATTAATTAACCTCCTAAACAAAACAATTTCATATATTTAAATACATAAGTCAACTCTGTCACGTTGACCCTTTCTTTTTTGAAATATATATATATATACACACACATAGATTTTTATCCTATTTTTTTCCACCTTAAATTTTACATTAAATAAAATTTGAGTCATTTTAATAAATTTTTATGGTGCATTTAATAAAATTTTATATAACCTCCCTAGGTATTAATTTAAATATCCAAATGACTTTAAAATTAGATTTAAATTGATGTTTAGTCTATGACATTTTATTTTATTTTGATCTCTAACCATTTAAATATTTTAAAAAAAATTTCAAACTTCATTATTCTTTTATTTTCATCTATAAATTTTTAAATATTCTATTTTATAAGTTTCTAAACTTTACTTATAACTACCACGTTAATTTTTAATTAGTCATTTAACAAAAATTTAAATACATGGTGAGACCAAGCCTTGCAGTAAATCAACAAAACACGTATTTATATTAATTTATGTTAAATAATTTTTTATGCCAAGTTTTAAATAACTATACAAGTTAGACTAAGTAAGAATTAAATTTAAAAGATTATATTAAATAACAAGTAGGTGAAAAGACATCAATTCAAAACATTTAAAAAAAGGATGAAAAAAGCAGCATGAATCAAATGACATTATATAAATTATGCTCATTTCACCATAACAAAGACACCACCATTCTTCCTCCTTTCTGATCATCTTCCTCTGCTTGATCCTCCTCCACCGCCACCGACACTGAAACCAGCCACGGCTATGGCCACAGCAGCAGTGATGATACCTACCGTTATGGCGCTTGCAATTCTGCTGCCCAACCCGATCGATTGTGATGCTCTTACAACTTCCAAACGACTCCTCAACAACGAAACTTGGGGTGAGTTTAAAATAATTTTTCGACAGTGAAAAGTGTTTATAATTCTATATAATATATATATATATATATATATATATATATATTTATATTTATATAATTTTCTTATAGACTCTTCACTTTTTCGAAATTTTGAGGGGTTTTTTTTCAAATAAATTATGCTATTTGTGTTGCCTCTTGAAATAGGCTGTGTTTGAGGTTTCAACTCCTATTTTCGTAAAAGGTTTTGGATTTTGTAGGATTTCAAAGAATTCTAAGGTAAATTACTGATGTATCCTTCTCTGTATTTTAATTTTAGTTAAATTATAAGTTTAATCGAAGTCAGTTGAACTTTTAGAGTTGTATGTAATAGGTTTTTAACTTTAAGGTGTGGTATATAAAAGACATCTAAATTTTTACCATTTTTTTTTATCTAACGTGTTCTTTTAACTTTAAAAGTATCTATTCAATCTTAAACTTAATTTCAATTTGTATCTAATAAGTCTCTGGGCTATTAGGCAAATTTTTTTTTTAAAATTTACGTATCTATAGATGTAAATTTTAGTATTTTGTCTAATAAGACCCTGACCCTCTTTCAATTTTGTGTTGATATAGGTTTATAAAATTTTGAAATTATTTAATTTAATAGTCTAATAATGTCTATATTATTGAGATACATATTGGAGTACACTTTTTTGGAAGTTCAAAGACGCATTACACACAATTTAAAAGTTCTATTAATTGAAAGTTTATATTAGTGAGCTTTTCTTCCTTGTTTTTTTCTCCCTCCCTCACAAACATCCTAAAAAAATTAATTACATATATTTAAAAAATTCATTCCAAACGAGATAAAAAAAAATTTAAGTTATTTTTAGTATTTAAGATTATTGGATAAAAGTGCTTCTCTTAAATACTACATTTTGTGCCAAAACAAGCATAGCTTAGTAGTAATTGGAATATATCTCCAACCAAGAGATTGTGAGTTCGATCCTCCATCATCACATGTTGTACTTGAAAGAAATGTACCTTTTGTTTCCAAAAATCATCTCAAATTCACTTGCAACTGGATGTCCTAGGAAACCACAAACGTCTTATCGGAGATGAAGACATCGGGTCGGAGTTTCTAATGGAGTTGCACCTGAGTCGGATTTTGGCAGAGTCTCTAAGGTTCCAAACTATGACAACCCCGAACGCGAACATGGGTTCGGTGCGGGACTGCGAACGGCCACCGCGCTACGACAGCTGCCTTGGCGAGAAAAGGAATACACCACCAGCGGAAAACTGTGGCACCTTCAACCGCGCCAATCCCTGTTAGAAAAAAGACAACATATAGTAAGGGTCGGAGATTCGACAGCTTCATAATTATGATATCTTAGATTTACAGCTTCTTATAAGGAAATAATTGATCAAATTAGGTTGAATATCAATTCGAACTATTTTCAGCAGGGGTGGATTGTGTGTTGACACGACACATGAAAAGTATGTGATACGTGTGTTGTTTCAAGCCTTAGGACGAATGACATCTCAAACACGAAAGATAGAAAGTAACCCCAATGTCGTTGGAGTCCAAATTATAATCTTGTCATCCATCCCTAAACTAGAGGATACAGCTTCTATGAAAGCTCGCACCTCGCTACTCCAGTACCACGCTCCATCTTGACCTAGGAAATCAGAAACTCTTACAAGATGATACTTGAGAGTAATTAGATGAAGAACTCATACTCCATATCTCTGCACTAAAGGACTCAAAAGGAAGTTAGGACTAAAACCATACAAACTATTTGCTGACCGTTGCCCATAACATTCCTAACAAAGAGACGAAACCGATTTCAAACATTGAGGATAACCTTCCAACCCCAAGAAGAACTCAAAGGCGGCTTAATTAACCGAATGCGACAGCACATAAAAATGTTGAAAATTAAAATTTCTTAAAAGTAAAGGTGCAAAATATATATTCAATTTTTTTTCTTTTCTGAGTTCAACCAAGATGTGGGGATGAAACTTTCAGCCATCAGAAAAAAAGACTAAAAAAACTTATGCACTTATCTTTTTTTTTTTACAACAAATAAAGTTGGGAGATTCAAACAGTCAAATTCACCATGTTTTTGGTCGAAGACAAGTACCTAAATTGGTTCAACTACGTACATATATTTATCTATTAAGTTACAATGGGAGAAATTTATAATGTAATAAAATTTATATTTAATAAAGAAGTAGTAGAGACATCAAATCACTAACATTAAAAAAATATGATAAAACAACGAAGACGAATAATGAATAGCAATTATTTGACATTATAAAAATAGGCTCATTACCCACAACCAAGGACACTCCCATTCTTTCTCCCTTCCCATTTTTCTTCCTCCGCTGCCACCGCCATGGCCGTCGCCGCCGCCGCGCTGATGATACCCACCGCCGTGGCGATCGTGTTTCTGCTTCTCAGTCCAACCGGTTGCATTGCTCTTATTTCTTCCAACGATACTTCTAGTAAGTTTGAATTTTATTTTAGAGAGAAAAAAAAAGTAGTTTTTGAGTGCAATATGTTTATTAATTACTTTTCAAAAATATTTTTTTGAGAATTTCAAAATGGGTTAAATTATAAATATACTTGTTATTATTTGGACATAGTTATTGATTAAAATTTATGCTTATTTTTAATTTCAGTTCATGTGATTTTAGAAGCTTAAATTTTTTTCTCTATTAATTTAAGAGTGTGCAATGATTTTAGAAGTTTGAATTGGGTTTTAATAATTTGGTTAAATCTCATCATTATCCTTACAATCATTTTTTACCATCAAAATTTACTCATTGTTTACTCAAGATTGTAATTAAGTTTCAACATAATCAATCAAATTAAGAAAATATAAGTTGATTAATTACCATGTAAATGAAGGAAAAAAAGACAGTATCAGGAGAGACGATTTACGAGATTTGATGGTCTCATTCTAAAATAAAAAATTAAATTGGAACGCATTTGAAAAAATAAAAACTTTTGAAAATTTGAATCCATTAAAAATAAATTTCAAAAGTCATTCCAAACTCACTATTTCTCCTTCATATTAATTACTCATGTGATTCAGATACCATAAAACACCTAGTGGGAGACAAAGATCTCGACTCGGAATTTTTGATGGAGTCACACCTCAGTCGGATTCTAGCGAGCAACTCGCAAAACTTCCAAACCAGCTCCACAAACAATGCGAATCGCGCCGCCGTCGATTGTAGCCGGCAGCCACGCTACGACAGCTGCCTCGGCCAGAAAAATGGTGTGCCGCCGCCGGAAAACTGCGCCACCTACAATCGCGTATGTCCGACATAAAGATTACTTAATGTGGGTTGCCGGCGGTGATCGGTGATCGGAGATCGGAGATCGGCCGGCAGCTTAATTATGATCCCAAAATGATCGATCGTTCGGTGTAGAATGCTCGATCAAATTTTATGCTCTGTTTTCTGTTTAATATCCAATCAAGTTTACTTTGTGTTGTGTCTAAATTTTGGATTTTTCTATGAAAATTAATATTATTGTGTTCTAAAAAAGTTATATGTGGCGTGGAAAATGGAATGGTTTGTTGACTATTTTACATCATTGGTTGAAAACTACTCGAAGATTAAGGGTGATTTTAGGATTTAATTAAAAATGAAATTCCATCTTAAAACATGATTTGNATTTGTTTTAATATTATTATTCAAATATCAATATAGCTTATCAACGACAACGAGTTAAGACACTCGTCTTCGATCAAAAGATCGTGAATTCAAATTTTGATTTCACATATGATGTAAAAATGCATATTCGACCATCTTACAATATTCGAAGAAATTGCTAATAATAAATATAGTTGTTAATATTTTGACCCTCCAATTATGCACAAGTTGGTATTGAAATTTATTTTTATAGATATAAAATTTCAAAACAAAATTAGCTTTTGATTTAATACTATAAAATATATTTCTAAAGAGATGATTAATTTCTTAAAGTAGGGGTTTACATTATATTAATGGCAACTTTTTATTATTAAAAATAAAAATTTTACAAAAACATGTCTCAATAATTATTTTGAAGTTAATATTTTTCAAAAACATAGCTTATCTTTTTTTTAATGATGTTTTTATTTATTATTCTAAAATTATGGATTTGTTAAGAGGGAGGGATATTCTCTATATACAAAATATAGATTTTATATAAATCATTTCATTACGGTTTCAAAAATAAAAGTATACAGCCAACATGGTTTAGTTCAGTTTTAATTGGCACTCATCTCTGATCAAGAGATCAATCTCTCACTCCCATATTTATTATACTAAAAATAAAATTATACTCCCAAATTGTGTAAATTATTTTTCTATCATACAGTTGTAATGTCCCATTACACATGCATTAACAAATAAGTTAATAATAGGGTTGGTGGATTAGATTAATTAAAAAATTGATCATATTATTTTATTTGCTACCTAACAAGTACTTAATTGAGCTCAAACAAATTTTTTACTAAAAGAAAAATCCCTAAATACAGCTCATGAGTGATGTTTGTCATTGTTGACTTCAATAAAAATTTTGCCATGCCCATACAAATTACAATTATTTTACTCCATAGTTTCTTATTTTATTGGGCACTTTTTTATTGAATTTTATTGGGCACGTTATTAAGACTTATATTAATTCTTTTAGTTTATGAATTTCATACARTTTTTTAATTCGACTGATATAATCAATAAGAGTAGTATAGAAAAATTCCTCGCCTTATGATTTTTCCTACAGGAGAAACCATGATTTACTTCTATTTTATAGATTATTAACTTGTTTATTTGTTTTATGGTCTTTTGGAAAATATTATTCAGACGTATTGCTATGTTAGTAAATAATAGTGAATTCCATATTTTTTTTTAAAGTACAACAATATAGGGTGGAGTTCAAATACACTACCTTTGAGTAATAGTGAATTTCATGTTAACAATTTATTTGCTTATGAAAGATAATAATTTATTTCAACTAAATTATTGATAAGTAGATAAAAGTTCTAAAATTTCAAAATAAGATAACATTATTCTTATTCTTTTCATTAGAATAAAACTTATTGATAGATAATATTATTCAGTTTTATTATAATGTAATTTAATAATCAAATATTCTATTTCAACAATTAATTTGAAACATAATAAATACTAAATAAAATAAAATAATTGGATTGGGTCAAAAATGGGTTGGGCCAGAAATCTTTTTTAACCCAACTCATCAACAATAGCCCATCATGTGTTTTAAATCAGAAAGATATAGCTTGTAATCTACAAAACAATAATTTAAATCTTTTTAATTTCAAAATTAAAAATAATCAATATAGTCTCACAAAATCTTTTTTTTTTTTTTTTGACACAATCTCACAAAATCTTATTGTTAGCAAACATTTCAAATATTAAATCATGGTTTTCTAAAGTAAAAATAAGTCTTCATTAGTAATATGTGTCTAGCATCCTCTCCAAAAAAATCGATGACTGTATTAATTAATTAAAGATGTGCAACGTAAATTTGATTATTATTGGACATATTATATTTGAATTTAATGTAAATTTTTATTTTGCAATTTTTGTTAAATTTTAAACTTCTTGTAATAATATTTGAAAATATATATCTATATTATACTGTTTATGTAAATGCATCAAAATTTTCATACATAATACCCCATCATTCATTCGAGGGAGAAGGAGAGCTTAAATAGAAACATCCTCAATTATAAACCTATTTTGATTATGCAAATATTTTTTAAGTTAGATAAATATAGAGCGAAGTCATTTTTTAGTATTATAATTCTAATAAGCGAGAGTAGTATTGACCTAATATATTCATAGTTGAATTAGTCAAGATATTGATCATTTCTGTAAAAATTGTAAAATGGTAAATTAAAATCTTCCTTTGAATTGTAATACTCAAAGGAAAAAAATCATAACTAATGTTTCGAGTAAATTATACTTAAAAGTTGACACTAAACAATTTATAAGAATATTAAATTTACTGACTCAAAAAAAAAAAAGAATATTAAATTTACACATGAAAAAAGCAAACCTAATATTTAGAAAGCTTCACATGATATAAGAAGAAAAAAGGAAAGAGAAAATTAGATTCACAAGAAAATGATGAATTGTATACCAAAAATGTTGACAACATGGAAATATGCAATATATATTTATGTACTTTAAAAGGAGGAACTAAAAAAATAAAAACTATAAACTATATATTATCAACAAATTAAATTTATTAGATGAAAAAATAAAATTTTTAATCCTAAACAAGTGTATCCATTTTCATTCTGTACTTCATTTCAATTTCATCGAATTGAATCTTAGGCTTAGTGTGAAATGTAGTACTTTTTACCTTTTGTTTAATTTTTACTCATTCAACTACTGATATTAGTTAAAAGTAAGCCAAAATCCTCCGAAGCCACTAATCTCAATGAATGTTAATTTTGTACAAAATTAAGTCTAATCAACGTGGACAAGATCAACCATTGGATAACTCTCTCAAAACTGACAAATTTCAATAAAAGAACCAACTTTAGTATCCATTTTCTATGAAAGTATTATCAATTTCATCCTCTCTCTATATATATATTATAATTCATTAAACTTACCAGAATATTTTTTAACGATTCTTCAATTGAAAGCATATCAAAACATTAAAAAAGTAGCAATACTTATTCAAATTTAAGGTAAAGAGTATATTGTAACACTTGTTCAAATTTAATTTAAATGTACAATTTGATGACATTATATGATTGAAGCATATTGCTAAGTTTAAGGGTAAAAATAATTGATTCTTTTAATATTATTATTATTAGTTGTACTAAAAAATATTGTTACTATTATTTCATATATGTAATACTTTATAGATCTCCGTCAAAAAAAAAAAATACTTTAGAGATAAAAAACACTTTGGTCCTTTTAAAATTATTGATTTACCTTTGATTGGTTTTATGTGATTCTATAAGTTTGTAATTTATTTTATTTTTGTAAAATTTTAAATCTAATATTATATATATAAAAATTAAAAATATTACTTTTGATTAGTTTTATGTGATTGTATAAGTTTGTAATTTATTTTATTTTTGTAAAATTTTAAACCTAATACTATATATATATATAAATACATATTCTCCTCATATTATTTTTGTAATTTCTTCGAATTTTTATTAGAGGGAAACTTGAAGGCAAAAGGTAAGTCACTCCTACTAAAATTGGCACTATATTAAAAAAAAAAAAAGGAATAAGAGAATTTGAAATAGAAAAAATGGTGAACCTTTGTTTAAAGGGAAGAAGAGAAAGAGCCTTATTAATTTAATATTTTTATAACAAATAATAATCATAAAAATCTAATGGACTAAAATGATAATTTAATATGTTTTCGAGAGATCTTCAATGGTAAGAGAAGTTGGTTTGATTTGGGCTTCATATAATAAAATCTAGGGACAAGTAGAGAATGACTCTATTAAATAGACTTGAAAAATAGCCAAAAATATTCAATATCATAAAATTGGCTACCAGTTATAGTTTAATCTAGAATTTAATATAGATAAATATAACCTTGCACCAAAATAGCTAAATTATATCCTACCATTACCCTTTAAATTTTGTGGCAAAATATCTTGAAACAACTTTTTGCTACAACTTTATTTTAGAAAATAAAATAGTGAATCAAAATTTCAAAAATAAAATCGGTTAAATGAATACTTTGAAATAAAAAAAGAGAGTAAAATGTAGAAAAATATGAAAAATGACCTAATAAAACGTAAATAAAAGTGGAAAATTAGTATAAAAAATATTATTAAAAAATCAAATATTGTTTTTAAAACTATGGAGGGGTAGCTACATTGAAAGACACGATAATTAATACCAAACTCACGAACCGTGTTCTTATTCTCAAAAAACGTAATCAATAAAAAAACAACTTACAAAAAAGGTTACAAATAAAGGTAAGGACAAACTAGAAATGTGGTGAAGCACTTGGATATTTTCTTATTCATATGATGTATATAATAATACTTACGTGGTACTGAAAGTAGTTTACTTACACTATAATGAGCTACTTGCTTGCATAATTTAATTATCATGGTTAAGCATAATCTCTATCTAATATAGGGTAAATACGCGTATAGACAGAATAAAGACAAAGTAAGTAAAGATGTGTATAGATAGAATAAAAACAGAGTAAGTAAAGATGCGTATAGACAGAATAAAGACAGAGTAAGTAAAGATACACACGGTACTTAGATTTTTCTCAATCAGTCTTGCTGCAAAAGACGGGATGAGATCATGTGACTGCTCATTATGACTACAATGTCTTGTGGAGAAGGAGACTCATTTTCCTTTCCAATAATCTTCTACTACTTTCTCTCAACTTTCAATAATTATGTTGTCTGTTAAATATCGATATCTCCAATGTTTGCTTCTAGTTTTTGCACATTAGGACTCAAATGCACAAATTAAAGTGGGGATAAAATGGCACAATTCGCACCGCCAAAGAATCAAGCTAGGGCATAACTTCATTACGACCAAATGTGACAACAAACAATTTGGATGACATATTTTGTGGCAGAAAACTATCAAGGAG